GTGAAGAATCTTCACGCGCACGATTATGTTTAATTGAATATATCCGTATTTTATATAAAAAATGGCAAACAAACAATCCAAAGTTGATGAGTTGGAAACTCGAGACTCTGTCTCCTCGTTGAGAGAATTGAATTTCAAGCTTGTAGCCGAGATTGCTGAGCTTAGAAAGGAGAATTCCAAGATTCCCGAACTTAGAAGAGAGAAAGATTTGCTTATGGCTAGAATCGTAGAATTAGAACGATCCACAAAAGAAAGTGCAGAGAATGCGAAATTAAGAGATGCCGAGCTCAACAAGCTTAGATCCAGAGTTTCGAAATTGGAACGGAAGAAATCGCAAAATGACTCACGGAGTGAGGATACTATCGTATCTGAAGAAACGAGCATATCTAAATCATACAAAGATACCAATCAATCTTCAGTTAATGACATCTCCACTGAAATAAGAAATCCTAACGATGTCTCTACTGAAACTTTAAATTCTAACGATACTCATGAACAGATAATCTCACGTAATGTGGAGTCTAACACATCTAATTTGGATATATACCAGGAATCGGTAACCCCCATATCTCTTAAAGAAACCATATCATTGGAAGAGAAGGAAGAAAATGAATTCCTGGATTCAAAGCATAGAGAAACAGTTAGAAAAGAGATAATCGAAAATATCAAGAAGTCGTCTCGGGATCAAGAGTTACTCTCAACTCCTGAGAATACTATCCCTAAGATTTCTATATCACCGAATAAGAATGTTCCCATATCCGAAGCAGAGAAGTCATTACTTAATAAAGATCTAAATATTCAAGATACAAAGCTTTCTTCTTCTGAATCTAAATCGTCTATTATCTTTTCATCCAATCAGAAACAAAGTGCTATTTCTTCCGAAATAAAAATTCCCTATAATCAAAAGGTTGAACAAGGTTTAATAAGTGAGTTATCTACATTTATTAACAAGAAAAGCCTTTCGAATTCCATACCTGATAGACAAATTCTTGAAAACATGCTAGATGGAGATGATTCAACTTCAGGTTCTGCATCACATTTGGCCCATTTATTCGACAAGGCTAAAAAAACTGGCCAGAAAGAAATTTTACGTTGGTATTGTTATAGTGA